CATCGAGTGGGCAGCAGGCACGATGGCAGTGAGTTTGAGGCTTCCTTCCTTCCTTTCTTTTTAATTTTCAGTGGCACAAAAAGACAGGGTGGAACTGCCCGTGCGGGTCCCCAAGGCTGTCCCCAAGGCAGACAGCCCCATCTCTCTTCCACAGAGCAGCGGGTAGAGGTTCAAACTCACCAGGGGGTTGGCAGCCCAGTGCTCACCCCTCAGTGCCACCACATCCCTCCCACTGTTCAATGGGGCCATTCAAGTCTGTCCTGCAGCTGCTGGGACTTGGAATCCATGTGGGTGTGAGCAGGGAGCTGTGCAACACTAGCCTCGGGGTGAGCAGAGGACAGAACTGGCCGTCCTCTGGGGCTGAAGCCCCCTTCCTGGGGCAGGTCTCAACTGGATGTGGTTCCATTACGCAGAAATCGGGAGCTCCAGTGCCCGCTCTGGCCAGTGACCCTTAGCCACCTACTACAGGAAAGGGAGACCCACTGGTGTCTACTAGTGATGTGGGCACCAGGACAGAGACCCTGAGGAGCCCCTCTGGGCTGGGCGAGATTGTATCCAATAAGGTACAGACTAGAACATGAAATGAAATACGCCCCCCGCCCCATTCTTGGTTTATTGTTTTCTTTTGACTCTTTGTTTTGTGTTCCTGAATGTTTTTCCGTACATGAAACCCAGGAGGGGTGGCTCTCTAGAGACAGTAACTGGAATAAGGGTTTCTTGGGGGTAGGGTGGGGAGGCTGGGGGGAAATGGGGAGTTAATCACAACAAGAAGAGAAAGTGCTCTAAAATCGATCGTGCATTTGATGATGGTACAACACTTCTTGATATGATGGAGCTACTGGAGCGGCTGGGGGATTCCAACCACTCGCCTTTCCCCGCTTCAACCTGCGCTTCCCCCAGCCCGGTGCCACCAGGGCGCCTTAGAACATCGCCAAACCTACAACCAAACTCCCCACCACGGAGTCCATTCCGAAGCACAGCGGCCCTGTAAGACAGAGTGGGACTGACTGCCCTCTGGGTTTCTGAGACTAATTTGAGAAGGCTCCTCCTTCTCCACGGAGCGGCCGGTGCCCAGAGTGCCCAGTGATTAACCTACTCCCCAGAAGGCTTCAAGGGCGGATGAGCTGGGGACGCCAGGCTGAGTGTGACACTGAAGGTGATCCATCAATTAACCTGCTGTAGAAAGTGGGGTCTCTGCCTCCTGTTATGCAAATGGAGGCCTGGGGGTGGAGGTGGGGGTGGGAGGTGGCAGAGGAGAGGCTCTCTCTGCTCAGAGGCAGTCTCACCCACAGAAGTCCACAGAACACAGTTCTTTGGAAGCAAAAGCCCTGTGCAGGAAAGGGGGCTTGGCCTGGGTTTCCAAAAACTGGTTTCTTTGACAGATGATTTGGGGACCCGCATCTTCTCCCTGTTTCCCTCCCACGGAGCCCAGCTAGTGCCACCTTCCTGATCCCAGTGAAAGACCTTGGATAATATTCCCCTTTGTTGCTGTTTTCCCGGGATATAGGAGACCTGGTGGTGCAGTGGTTAAGCACTGGGCTGCTAGTTGCAAGGTCAGCAGTTTGAAATCACTGGCTACTCCTTAGGAGAAAGAGTAAGTTTTCTACTCCACATAAATGTTATCTTGTGTATGGATTGTGATAAGAGTTATACCAGCCCCCAATAACATGATTTAAAAATTACAGGAAACTTTATCTTGGAAACACACAGGGGCAGGGGGACAATTCTCTGCCTTACAGGGTTGATGGGAGCCAGCTTCCCCTCCTTGATGGCAGTGAGTTTACTGATAGTTATAGTCCACCCCGTTTTTTCTTTTTGGCATGGGCAGAGTTGCTTTTTAAACCATCCAACCCGTTTTACTGACCTGCCAATGCATATAGTTCAGTGATCATATAATAGTTTACCATTCTTTTTTCTTATAGGGGTTTTAAAAATGCACTCCCGTTTTAAAAGCCAGCACTGCGTCCTTTCAAACATCCGGGATGTTGCAAGCC